TCACAACTCCAGGACAGTCCACCTCCTCCATTGTCAGCTTGGACCTCCGTCTCTTCTTGACGTAGGTCAAGTTATCATCTGGTTGCACAGAATCTTCCTGTGAGACACATTGACCTTTCTTTTTCTCTGCCAGCTTTAAGGTGAGCTTTTTTAGGTTCTTGTACAGTTCCACATGGCTTGTGCCAGGACTGGACTTTGATAGAGACTTTGGTACTGCAGATGGACTATCGACAGCAAATGAAGACTCAGCATCCGACTGTACCGACCTGCCATTATAATCGGACTCATGAGGTGAGGAGCTTGGGTTTTCATCCTCCTTGTGTTGACTTTTAAGCCATGTTGACAGAGAGCCCTTCGGAAAGAGAATCATTCCCTCGTCAAAAAACCTTCTTGGAGCTTTGATCACACGAGAAGATCTCCCACCGGCCACAGCAGGGGAGGAGTTGTTGGCACTATGCTGGACTGGTTCGGACCCTGAGCTGTGTTCTTCATCAAACTGAATTATGGTCGGATCCTGCTGTTTGTTGCTGTCTTTAGTGAGTGTGTCTGAAACAGGCTCTGATACATACGTGTAGAAAACACGCTTACTACGAGGACGGCCACCTTTTGGCCTGTCGTGTGTACTGGGTGCAGCTGGCCTCCGCCTCTGACAAAACAAAAACTTGCGCGGTCTTCTGCGAATTCGTTTTTTAGGGGATTCTTCAACTTTACACTCAAGGGGCATGGCCGCCTCCTCCTCACTCTGAGCACCAGCCTCTGCTGCAGCCTCCGGAGAGGCACCCATGCTCTTTGGTATTCTCTTCCCTCGCCGTTTGTGGAAGGATACTGGAAATGTGCGTGTGCTGTGTGGCTGCAACTGTTCTGTTGGTTGTCCTTTGACCTTTGATGTTTTATCTGCATCCTTGACTGTTGTCAAAGTGCCCTCTAGCTTATAGGTGGCTGTTTCTCCTGCTTTCCTGATCAAGTCAGCTGATGTACTTCTCTGTTTACTCGAGGCCTTAACTTTTGCACGTTTAGTTACAGCTTCTCGATGGCCACGCAGTTTAGGTACCAACTTGGGTATCCGTTTGTTTGCTACCGGGGTTTCTATGAGCCACTTACTATCTCTGGAAACCCTGTGCACAATTTTACCCGTCACAGCTGGTTTGGGGTCCTTGGGTACAATTTTTCCAGTAAGAGCATTTGTTCCAGATGAATGGTCCAAGGCTGGGGGAAACTTCTCTTTGCTCAGTGTTGAAGACAGAAAAGCTAATGCTGAGGATCTCTTTCGACGTTTTGTGGACGTCCCAAAGCCAGTGAACTCTTCCTCCTGAATAAAGACAAAAAATGCTTGTTTTATGTACTTTAAGCAATAATAATAATCTACAAACCATTGCTAAAAATTGGAAATATCTATTTCCAGGGCACATTTTTTAGTTTTATGATTTTCTGTGCACATTCTGGTCCCCCTTAATTTTGGCACTTTTGGAAGAGCAGTGAATCAGCAACAGCTCTGTGTTGCTTGTGCTTGTTTAATGTTTAAGATATAAATAAGACAATGTATTGGTTGAAGGGTGACATTAAAAGCACAATGGTAGAATATAGCTATCACCTCCTGACACAGTATTTTCTTAAGAAGGATAATTAAAGGATTGAGCTGGTGCTCAGGTTGCAGTGTGTGGGAGGATCACTGAAAAAAAAAACTTGCAATCTCCAAGTCTCCATACCTTCAGACCTGAGGTATTTATCAAATCAAACTCTTAGCTCTTAACAACTTTATAATTTTAAATATCTCAATCAGTTACTGTACAAACAAAAGTCTGAAAAATACAACACCTCTGCAACAAACAATTGCTCCTTATATGACCGGTGCAATCTGTAACATAGTATTCCAAAGACAAAGACAAAAACAGGCTCCAGGTTCCTTCCAGGTCAGGCAAAATAAACTACTAAACTACAGAACCGACCTTATAATACTCACATCCATCTTCCTGTGCAAAAAGATTGGTCAGAGATGAAACTCCTCCAGGAAAAGCTGTTCCATGCCACTGCAGGGCATGTGACTATGCTGCACTACCTCACTTGCATCACCCAAAAGCTTTTACATGAGCCATGTGACCTGATGACCACAGTGATGGATTGCATCAGTGGAATTTTGCTGATGACATAGACTAAAGATTATATCATACAGCTACAACATGTTTAATTGGTATTGATGGTCATCATCATTACAATTGTGGATAGCTGCCAAAGAGAGAAGGATCGTACAAAATACTGTAAAGAATTAGAATGTCAGCCCTTCAAACCCCTCTGACCAAAGAAGGAAACCACACATTTGTTTACAATGCACAGCAGGTGATGACATGTGATGTGGTTGGACTTCAATGTTGTATGCATCCTTGTAAATGCTACTGCAAAACATCAAACAATGTGTTGTGGCTATTGCTGCAACAAGTATGCTATCCAATAACAAGTCAACTACCAAATTTGTCAACTCCTATTGCTGATAACTTTTCCATTTTTAATGCATAACAACATGATAGTAATCACATCTTGTGTGTAAATATTTGTTTTTTTTGCTATCCAATATTGATTTATTAAATCAAACACTTGAAGCCTTTGATCATAATCTTCACAAATTAGTGAGTATCGGGACAGGGGCTGATATGTATATTTTGCACACAAATATAACATGTATTTCAAGGTAAATACTTGCAGAACAGTATTCAGTTTTTTTTAAATTAATTTTTAATAATCTCGTGCTTTGTGTTTGCCATCCTGTTGCACCGCTACGTTGGGCTGACGCTTACTACACCCCGCGTCAGCTGACAGCACCAACATGAAGATGCGTGGTCTGTGCAACTTATCAGCTGCAGTACCAACGTTGTGTGATCGACATGATTATCTATGCAGCAGATCGTGAGATCTTTCACTATGCCGACAAATGTGTCCAATCGTGCACGTGAACAAAGGCACATACTGGTTTCCACAACAAAACGCTTTTACAGTTTATCATAGCGCTAAAGTTTCCGCCTTAACGTCTTTGATATACAAGTACACAGCTGCAAATACACCGATCTGGTGCCTTTGTGTATAAAGCTGATGCAATTTCAAGACAGACAAAGGAAAAACAGACTTGTGCAAACCTTATAACAAATTACAAACATCCCTGAGGACACCTTGCATGATTAAACGAGTTACGGAGCATATTACGGTTAATGTTTACAGGATAGCTAGCTTAGCGTTAGCTGTAATACTTCTCGTAAACAGCTAATAATTAATTGCTTTAAATGTCCCGGTTTGAGAAACGACAGGTTCATGTAACCCCGTTACTTAAAATATAACTGACGGTTGGTTTATTCACCTCCTCGCTGTTGCTGGAGTCAAAGCCCGCATCTTTCTGCCGACTGTGCTTCTCTGTCACCCCAAGCAGGAGCAGGAGCGACGGGTCCTCGCTCAACGCGAGGCCGATGTTTACGGGCCTCGGCCCGTCGACTTCCACCTCTCCGTCGTCTGAGGCCAACCTTCCGCGTCTGGTACGTTTCTCCGACCGCAGCCTGCTACGAGCATGACACGGCCGACCTGGGAAGCGAGCCTTGGCTGCACCCTGTCCGCCTAAGCATAAAGCAGCAGAAGCGGGAGATGATAATCCGGCTCCCGATGCCGCCATTATTTACTTGGAGAAGACGGAGGGCGCGCAGGCGGAAGGACACAGTAGCCGTGTGAGAAGAGGTAAGATGGACCGCTGCGAGGCGAAGGCGCCAGATAGCAAAAACCACAAAGGCATCATGGGAAATCGAACTCAGTCGAAGCAGTGACGCCCAGTTCGCCTTACCCGTCGAATTCGGTTGTCTTTCAGTCGATGTACGTTGGTCCCGTGACCTCATATGGCCTTTATTACCGTTTGTCAACGTGTTCAAATAAACTGCTAAATAATCTTTCTCAAATATATGTATTCGTTTCTTATTTGTAAACTTGTAAATATTAATATATAATAATTTATATCATTTTTTCAGTAGATATTTTCCACATAGATCATGTTTAATCACAATTTGCCAGATAATTAACAGGGTCTAAAATGCACTACTTCCGGGTATTTCCATGTAAATTGGATCTTGGAACTTCATTAGGTGTTAAAGTTTGTTTGTGTCTATATGTGACCCATGGTCAACTGGTCCTCACAACCCTGATCGGGATTTAGTGGCACTGTACAAGACAATTGGATGGTTATTTTCACTATATACTTTTGAGGACACTTAGTGTTAATTTTTGTATTCAATACTCAAAATTCAGCCTCATTGGTGTCTGGTCCAAAATGTCTTCTCTTAGAGGTCACCACCATTTCTTCCTTATTATCTCAAAATATCTTGCAAAGAATGATGAATCTTGGTAGTGGTATTTATGAAGCATTAGACACATTAAGTGTCATATAACCAATTTAAACACACCCACACAAACACATATAGGGACATGTTGTTTAATGCACCAATATTCACAATTTGAAAATTGAGACCCAAGGTTTTGATACAAAATCTTCTTCATTGACCTTACCTAAACTTAGATTTTGTGTTAAAGACTTAGTTACTTTTATGAAATTTATCATATATATTTTTGGGAATGAAAGAAAGCTGAACACAAATGATTTCAACATTTTGAACAAAATACTAAAAGTTAAAACAAAGGTCAACAGATCAAATGTAACAAAAGTGTCCAGTGACTAAATGGCTTACAGTTTTTCATTACAAATGTGGCATATTTAAAAACATGTGGTTATGCAATGGCTCACTTTGTGACAGTACTCAACCCCTCACATACTGGAAACATTTTCCTGTGAAGAAAAATACTTTAATAAACAATTAATTGATAGCCATAAAAAGCTTCACAACAATATTATCTTACATAACTGTGTTTGCTGATTCATCTGGAATTCCAAGACAACCTAATGCAAAGCTTTTGAGATGTGTGTGACGCGAGAGGCCAAAGTGTATTCTGACTGCTCCAATAGAGCACTGTCTTTTTGTCAAAACTCCTTGCGTGACTAAGACTTGCATGGAGCAGGGCCGTGTTTTTCTCTCTTGTGTGCCCTTAGGGCTGTGACAGAAGGGAATACGAGGTCACAATTCTCCTCAGGACAAGGGATCTCAAGCTCTTTGGGCTGTTTTTTGGCGTTGCATCCCTTTATTTTGGAGTCACTATATTCTTTGTATTCACCCGTATCTTCCTCTTGCTTGATCTTCTTCCCGACTACTGTTGCACCTTTCCCCGTGTTCTTAGATTTACGACCAAGTCTCTTTTTTTCACAGTCTACACCATTAGCGAATATCTCCAGGTGTTGCAGGAGCTCTTCTTCTTTAGGGAAACAGCGACAACACTTGTAGCACTGGTGTGCATGGATGTCTTCAGCACCTGCTGGATGCAACGTTGCGCGATGTCTGCGTAGTCGGGGTCGACTGGGAAACACAGCGCCACAGTCAATGCAGATATATTTCCTTTCTTTGCATTCATGTCCTCTGTGTTTGCTCAGCTGTATTGAGACAATAAACATTCAATAATAGTTTTTCATAACAAAACCAACTAAGATGTAGCAGACTATTCTCTCACCTCCTGAAAAGTATGAAACCTCTTATTGCAGTCGGTGCAGACGAAAGGTTTCTCTGTTGGACTATGGGTCGCCTGGTGCTGACTTAGCACTTCAGATGAGTAAAAACTCTTGTCACACAAGAAGCAAGTGAAAAGGGTATTGTTCTGAAAGAAGATCAAACAGAAATCTATTTATTAATAACAGCATGGAGATTGTCTAAAACATGAAAAACACCTCACATAGGATTAAATTTGATACAACACCAGAACACGTTTCTGAAAGAGAACAATGAAGTATTCATCAAAATAAGAACATTTTCAAATATTGGGTCATTATCATGTAAATCCTTGTGTATAATATTTGGAAATTATGGCTCTTCTAATGCAAAATGCAAAAGTCCCACGCTAACATCCAACAGTGCTTACTCTTCTATTCTTTCTTAACTAAACCTCATCCAGAATAAGATATTCAACAATGTTTCTAGCTGGAATAAAGTTGCAATATAAATATTCTGACGAGACTTGGGAGAAATTTGCTTGTTCAAAAAAAAAAAAAAAAATCTGTTTCCTACCTCCTGCAGTTGTCTTTTGTATTCTTCCCTGTGACTCTTCCTCATGTGCCTCTCCTTAGTTTTGTGATTAGGAAAGGTGATCAGGCAATCAAAACACTGCAGACTCTCAGTTGGATCTGCACCATAATATCACAAGTTGTGAGCTGATATGTTCAAATGCAGAGTCACACATCACAGGTATGGAATGCACAGTAAATATTTTCTTACATGATGGCACAGGGGCGACCATCGATGGCTTGATGTCTTCTAAGGTATTTTTCTCATCAATCTCAACAACGACTTGCTCTACCTTCACCATATCCATGTTGATGCTGTTATAACACTAGTCAGCCACATGAATCTACCTAGGACCGAAGAAAACACTGTTAATTTACGCTGTGCACAATGAATTAATAAAACATGTATAACATTAGGATCCGGTGTTTACTACACACTTTCATACTGATGGCTGTTAAAAAAACAGCAGAGATGTTTGCTAATGTTAGGCCTGGGCTAGCTTAGGGATGGATGGAGAAGGAAACGCCTCGCAAATATACGAATACAAACCAAAGCATTGTGTTTAAATTAAATAGTTTGGTCTTTTTCCTATTGAAGCCAATTGAAAGTTTTTTCAATATTAGGCAGTGTGGTATTTATAAACAATTAAAGAGGGGACTATTTCCTACCGCTCGAAACGGCCACCGAGTAGTCTGTCTACGTCACGTGACCCGGACAAGTCATGCGAGAAATGGTATTATCGCGAGATATTTAAATAGTATGAATACAGTATTACTAAAATGACAAAATATTTCAAATGATAAATAATAATTATACCTACAGAAGTCCGATATTATATACCGTCTGAACTTGTAGTACCAAAAACAAACAATTACTTCTTGTGAAACTGATTAAATCAGTACAAATACTACTATACTGTTATTGCCAACTTTGGAAAATTAATACCCTCCCTCTTTTCTAGTTCCATCATTTGTATATAACAATATTTTACTGCTATATTATTTTACCACACACCACCAACACAAATAAAACAAATGTAAACATTTCTGAGAGGAATTTAAGGTTCATAGAACTTTATTGCTGATTTCATCAGACATGACAGTCTCAACACATGTTGGTGAGGTGAACAGCACATTTAAATATTTTTTCCAAGATAAAAGTATACAATTCTGGGTGTATGACATAGAGAAAGGGTTTTAAGAGGAGACATAGTTCTAAGCCCTGGCCTGCTGCTGCTGCTGGAACTCAGCAATTCTGCTTTCCATCACAGGCCTGAAGTGTCTGATCAATCCCTGAAGACAGAGCAAAAGTGGTTAGTGATTTAGACAGCAGGATAACAAAAGAAAACAAACCCCATACACAATTCATTTGTAATTTGTTTTTGTAACCCTGCTGGAGAAGAATTTGCTTTAGTTTCGACACGACTACTGTTTACCTATTTTATCTCTGTATTAAAGACTTTAAATAGGACAAAGTTAAAATAATGTAAATAGAAATCAAAGCTTTTTGCCTTTTCAACCAATAAAATGATACTTGAATCTTCCAACTGTATTATGATCTGCTCATACCTGCACTGGCCAGGCTGCACCATCTCCCAGGGCACAGATGGTGTGACCCTCGACCTGCTTACTGATCTCCCAAATCATGTCAATCTCTGCAGGCCGTGCATCACCACGTACAAAACGCCACATCATATTGTTCATCCAGTCCACTCCTACACAACAGAAAAAGGGGAAGAAGTGGTGAAAGCCATTCGTATAGTTAGTGTCCTTTTGTGAAAAGTTAATTATGTCATGGAGTACGTCAGACTGATGGCATCCTTACCCTCTCTGCATGGGGTACACTGGCCACAGCTCTCATGTTTGTAGAATTCCAACAGACGAGCAATAGCTCTGATGACATCCGTCTGTGGAAACATCACATCTGCTTAAGTTATGCATACTTGCAAACATGTTAACTGAAAATAAATGACAGCTGCAGAGAAGAAAGACTGACAGATTTGTCCATGACGATGAGCGCTGCTGTGCCAAGACCAGTCTGAGCCTGAATCAGGCCGTCAAAGTCCATCGGTACTTCTTCACACACGCTTTTGGGAATGAGGGGTGTTGAGGAGCCACCGGGTATTACAGCCAGCAGGTTGTCCCATCCACCACGGACTCCCCCTTTGGTGCAGATATTAGATTTGGTTCAGAAGATGTAATATAGTCGGAAAATGCAGTTACACAACACTGTTACTTGCCAAAATAAGTAACTGATTAGTAACTGATATTCATTTGCCTTCATGTTACTCCCCTGCATTTGCTGCACACCCCTGTATGGGGCCCAAACAACCACAAAAACCATCTACTATCAAAGAAATTCAGGGATACATGACAACTATATTAAAAGGGTTTCTATCCTACTATCCAACACATATTGTGTTGTAGGACTTTATTACCTGCATGCCTCTCTATGAGGTCTTTCAGAGGGATGGACATCTCCTCCTCCACAGTACAGGGGTGATTAACGTGACCTGAGATGTTGAAGAGCTTTGTGCCAGAATTTCTTTCTCTGCCAAAGCCTGCAAACCACGTGCCTCCACGACGACAGATGGTGGGCGCCACGGATACCGTCTCTACGTTAGCAACAGTTGTTGGGCAACCGAACACTCCTGTAAAATAGGGGGAAAATTACAGAATGTAAGAGCTTTTTTATTGAAACAAATCCAAGGCCTTTGTCATAACCTGCTGCAATTCAGATTATGATCATTGTCAGGTTAAAGAACATGACCATTGGATTGGTGACAAGAGAGAGTAACAGAGATTTTTCTAGCTGTCCTTTTTTTTTTTTTTGAGAAAAACCAACCACCACCACAGGGAAACGGGGCCTTCAG